GCCGGGGGGGGGGCCCTTCTACGATTCCGATTCATCTCTTCTCCACTTTGAGCCTGTAGCGGTTGCTACGCTAGTAAAGCCTGACTGACTCAGAAATCTCTATGGCAGATTCTCCAACATCTAGCTGGACTCCCAGAACTAGCTAAGCTATAGCCCAGCTATAAAGGAAACAGACGTGTAGCACGGAGCACATTTATTCATTGGGTATGTTGCAGATAAAGTGTACACGCAGGAAGCTTAATCATGATCAGGATGGCGGATTAGGTTAAACAAACAGAGGTTAATGATTGGTCACTGTTTGTACGGTCGCACCTCCCAATCCTGGCGTGCAGGCATGCGATGACGTGTCCTACAAGCCTCTTTGTATTGGATTGGTACAACAATTACCTTACATTGTAATTTATGTACTTCCTTTTATTTCAATATTGTGGATGATTTTTTTGACATCTGTATTCAGCCTTTTTGTCATGCTGTTTTTTCCTAAAAGCGTATTCTATAAGATAGGCCAAATAAATCGTCAATTATCTCCCCTTCTTTCAGTAAAGCAATTATTTTAATTTCTAAAATTACGAACAAAAGGTAGCAATTAAAAAATGGTTACTCAATCTTATATTCACCAAGTCAAAAAATAAATTTCCACATTTATCGCATGATTAATGAGCCGAAAAGTCATAAAATAAACAAATTAACTTTCCAAATTAGCACTGTAGTGGATGCAACACAATTAAGCCTTGATTAAGTTTAAGTAATCCTTTCTGTCAACTTCCCTAGACATGAAACTGCTCCCAAAATCAGCCCAGATACCCCATCAGCGTCGTAGAAGAATAAAAATGTGCCGTAAACAGCCTTTATCACAGCTTATCGGCCACTGACACAAAGCGCAGTCGTAAAAATTTAATTAAGCTTTCGCTAACAATACAGTAACTATTGATTGCTGGTTGACTGAGGGGTTTCTGCACTCATGACCGCACTTGCTCGGTAAGCGAGATCAATAATACGACCGCACCTTCCGGAATGTTCTAGTGCGTATCAGCATTGTGTATTCCACAGTTGAATTGGAACTTTGTGCACTTTTTCGATACAATACATTTTAATATGAATAGGTAGGGGGTCTTTATACTCACTAATAAATAAATCATGGAAAATTTTGAGCACTTATTAAAGTTTTTAAGAATGTTGAAAATAAAGCGCCAAGTTAAAATTTAAACAAGTTTTTGAATTAAGTAAGCTTGGTTGTTGGTTTAATTGAACCTAATTCCTTCTTAATGATTAGTAATCAAATAGCATTCCTTATTTAGGTGACACATTTCACATTAAATTGAAGTTCAGTTATTGTGTGTCAACGATGGTAGCTGATGGGAAATGTTTTTCGCAACTCAAATGGATCGATAGAAAATTCTACAAAATTCAATTTCCAAATGGCTTTGATGGTGATTTAATCATTAAAAAAGAAGTATGGGAGTATTTCAGTGAGCGGATGCTTAATATCAGGCAAATACGATCTCGATTGGAGAACTTAAAATGTCCGAATTCATCCTCTACTTTTGAAAAAATTCTGAAGAATCAAGTTGTGGACGGCAAGATACTGGTCGACGATTTCATGTTCATTAACTTTGATAGTCAAGTCATTTTAGAGCAACATATCACCGAAGATTCGTGGAAAGGATATACCGTCAAGAGCTTCATTACTCCACTGCCAACTTACATGCCGACGGCCGTAGTAAAAGACAGAGGCTTGCTGCCGCATAATTCCTGCATCATTTACTTCATACGATCGATTCGGAATTTCAAGAAGCATGTGGAGGAACTCGTCTCTAACATGAAACCCAATCAAGTTCTAATTTTTGCTCTCGTAAAAACCCTGCAATGCGAACAGGAACGCATGAATTCCACGGATTATATGTGCGACTTCGTTGGACACATCGCACCCCTCCTCGATAATCTAGATGTTAATTGGTGTCTTTGGTATGTGGAGAGCGAGAAGGATAGGTATGTGAACTTGAGTGGAATGTACGAATGGGCGTGTAGTGAAGTTCTCATGTCAATGAACGCATCGAAGGAGAATACACCGGCCTTAAAATCTCCTTTGAACTGCAATCTTGAAGTCAATGGCTATTAACTTCTGAAAAAATCTTGTGCTACTTTTACATAAATTAGGTCTTTTTACATGTGTAGCTAATTATTTGAGGGATCGTATTGTGGCATAATGGGGCAAATGCTCAATTTTAAAAATAACGATTTTTCTAATAAATCTAGCTTTTCCATTTTTGGTTATCAAATAGGTGAGAGAGCGAGTGTTTCGTGGAATAAAATTTGCTGATGAATTTACCCTTGTCGAGTTACTCTTTATACCCATGGAGAACAGGTTTAAAGTATGATAGAGGAAATTGGCTGTTTCAATTATCAAAAAACCTGAACTAGTATTTCTCTAATTTAGAATCATAAAGGTGGTAGTTCTATTACCATTTGAGTGTGCAGTACCTCACATTTTAAACGGCGAGGCTTAAGATTATCGAGAAATTAAACAAAAATATTTCGAATCCGAACGAACAATTTGGATAATATTTTGCAGGTGGCCAATCTATCCTTGCTATTTAGTTAAGATTTAACCTTATAGAATGAATGTAAAATTAACGAATATGAGTCAGAATTTGTAAACAAAGTTAAGCCAAGTATATATCAAATATTTTACATATCCAAGAAAGTATTTAGCATTGTTGAACAAATCCATTTATGACTTTATCTAGTATTTTGTTCATGAATTTACCGGCAAAATTTGGTTGACTTTTCATTTGTTGCAAATATCGAATAAAGGATTCTATGAAGTAAATATTTAGCCCACTTTCTTCTTCGACGCGTTAGCCTATGCATCGACCGACTGTACTAGCCTGTATTTGCATTGCTCACTTCAGTCATGTCTGCGTCGGCAATATTCATATTGGATTCTAAGGGAAAAGTTCTCATTTATCGCAATTACAGAGATGATATTGATATGAGCATTATTGAAAAATTCCTTCCAATCGTGATAGAAAAAGAGGACGAAGGTCAAATATCACCAGTCATCCAATATGAAGGAGCTAGTTTCATATATGTGAAATTTAACTATCTTTATCTTGTTGCATTGACCAAACGAAATGCAAATGCTGCAATTGTCTTCGCCTTTCTGTATAGATTAATAAATGTATGTGATTTTCTTTCATTATTTCACTTGTTAGATCTTTCTTGAGTATTTTAAGGATTTGGAGGAAGAAAGTATCCGTGATAATTTCGTAATCACTTATGAACTTCTTGATGAAATAATGGATTTTGGATACCCACAAGTAACTGATTCAAAAATTCTTCAGGAATACATAACTCAACAGAGCAGTAAATTGGAAATAGCACCACGACCACCTATGGCTGTTACTAATGCCGTATCGTGGAGGTCAGAAACGGTTAAATATCGGCGAAATGAAGTCTTTTTGGATGTTATTGAGAATGTTAACCTTCTGGTGAGCTCAACGGGGAGTGTACTCCAAAGTGAGATTGTCGGATGCATAAAAATGAAGGTTTACCTCTCGGGCATGCCCGAATTGCGTCTCGGTGTAAATGATAAACTTAGATTGGAACCTAATAGCAGTAATTTTTCTGGTTAGATTCCCTTTACGACTTTCGGATTACTTCCTTCTTTTTTGTTTTTTAGATCGGAGTAAAGCCAAATCGGTCGAACTTGAAGATATCAAATTTCACCAGTGTGTCCGCCTATCGCGCTTTGAAAATGATAGAACAATCTCCTTTATTCCACCTGATGGAGAGTTTGAACTCCTGTCCTATCGTCTCAATACTCATGTAAGTCGACAAAGTGTCAGTCCCTAATTCACTCGTCGGGCTATAGATTTAAGTAATCGTAGTTACAGACCCTTAATGTTATCGATGGTTCGTTTCTCTAGGGCACGAATCATGTTCTAAATTCCGGCACCGGTGTAAGTACATTGTCGTTTTACACAACGTGATCCTTATTTGCACCTCGATTTTGTTTGTGTTACAATCGGAAAACTTCAAGTAAAAGTCAAAAAACACGTTATCATCCATCGGTTATAAATTATTCGAGCCCCAGGTAGTTTGGTTGGTCGGATGCGTGTGGAATTATCTCATTTTCTTCTTCTACACTGCTTAGCGTTTACCCTAGTCCAACAACTACAGAAAAACTATGACCTTTACCTTTTCTAATCTGATATAAAATTTGAGTCTATAAATGACACAATGATGTTTAATACAGGAAAGTCAGGCGTTCTCATGCGGGTAACTTATTGTGCAGTTTATTGTCTTCTCATTTCATCTCTCGAAATGAGTCATCAGAATACTGCAAAACATGTTCTAATACTCCTACTATTTCCTTTCAGGTGAAACCGTTGATTTGGGTCGAATCTGTCATCGAAAAGCATGCCCACAGCCGTGTTGAATACATGGTCAAAGTAAGTCGCCTCGACTTGACAAATCTGATAGTCTGCTAGTCTCCTTTTCACATCATCCATTTTATATTGATTTGAGTCTGTAAAATTTCAGTTCACCCCTAGCTGTTCTCAAACTATTTTTATTTTAGCAATAGGTCAAGTCGTTTTGTTTGCGGTGACTGAGAATTTCTTTTTTATTCAATTGTGTTTCTCTCGGATGAAAGTCGTTTGCGAAATTACGAGCAAATTGGGCAGTGCTCTTAAGCTTTTGGAATTTGGAAACCTACCTGAATATAGCAATTTTGCATTTTTTGTGATATCGATTTTAATTAATTCCAATTGTTGCTCAAATGATCTAACTGAGCTTCACTTACTCTTCATGAATATTTTCAGGGTTCCATAGCAAATATTTCATATTTTCGCCTGTTCTTTGTGTTTTCTTTCCGTTTACTGCATTTTATTTTTACTTGAGGCAGTCTTGTTGACACCGGGCCTTTCATTAAAAGGGATAATTACACCAAGGAGTATGGGATATCGTACCTATGGTTGCTTTTTGTGTTTTTGGTTATTTTGCTTTCCACAAGAGGGCCGGTAGAAGTTTTAATTGAAGGATGTCTGGGTTTGTTGTTTTGAATGTGAGTTTTTCTTCATTTGTGGGTGAAGAAAGTGTATTTGCTAAACCATATCTGGGTCTCTTTGGTGCTCTCTGCGTTCGTGTTCAATTTATTCTTAGATAATTTGAAGGCTTTGTGCTCGAACCTCTGAAGATGTTCTGATAGAATTTATCTAAATTTTTCTGCCAGGTCATTGTCAATCGTAGGTGGTCCAATATGCACTTTCCAATGATTAATCAGTAAAGCTTTGACTTAAGTTGATCGTTGAAAGTAACTTCAAAGGAGGGGGGGG